CGGTCCATTTAGTGGTAAGTTGGAACTTCTGCATTGGTTAAACCACTTAATTAGAGCGTCATCAATATTGGCTTTTTCACATAACTTAATTTTTTTCACTTGTCCCTTGCCATCTTGAAAACTTTTCAAAATTTTCTCTCTGTTTTTTATTATTGTGCACACTGTAGAATTTGCTAAACCAAAGTCTCTGCATACATCTGCCTTTTTTCTTCCACTTTCAACTGCTTTAATTATTTCTACTTTGCAGTCTAACGTTAACGCTTTCCTTTTTAAGCTAGCCATTTTATCTGATTTGATGCTAAACTACAACACGAGTATGAGAGCTATGCCGACTAACCCACTGTCACGTCGTTTAAAGGAGTGGTGCATCTCACCCCACCGAATCAGGTGGTGACAGTACCACCCACAAACGTTCTAGGAAGCGGACTCTGACCCTAGGACTGAACACGTAGTATTTTCTTTGATAAATAAAATTTGTAATTTAATTTTGTAAATTTGAGAGTGCTTCAAATATGACGTTAAAACAGGGTTTTATGTCGTTACAAGTGGGTTTTTTAACATTATCTAGTATAGTAAAATCGTGGGACCGATAAAAATTTGACGTTATATTAGGGTTGTCGTTACATCAAATGTCGTTATAATCGGGTTAAACTGTATCTACAACTTTGCTAATTTATATAATATAATATATTTAAACATTCCTAGAAATTTTCTAAATTAAAAATCAAAAAAGATCCATTGAAGTTTGACAAGCACTTATTTTGGAGTCAACTTCATCCACAGACTTAATATTGTAAACTTTAACCTTGTATATCTCCAGTCACAGGTCAAATTTTAAAATTTCATTTGTGTCATGACCTAGACTGAAGTATATTCTATTTGTATGCAAAAAATGACTTAAATCAGTTCAGCAATTTTGGAGAAGTTAACCATCATACAAACATCAGAGAATGCTAAGAGAACTTTACTGCAATCAATAATTGTTAAGGATGTCCCTTCTAAATAATTTTCCTTCTTGTTTGCAATTAATATAACTTGATGTGGCCTAAATTTGGCTAATTTTTCCAGACTTATCACATCATGTAGGTCAAGTGATGAAAACAGTCCATTTTCATCACTTGACCTACATGATGTGATAAGTCTGGAAAAATTAGCCAAATTTAAGCCCCATCAAGATATGTTAAGGGTGTATTACAATTTTTTTAATAAATGGCTTTTTTCAATTTTTACTATTATATTGAATTTTTCAAAAATTCATTATAACTAAAATTCTGTTAATTAACAGAAATTATAATTATACTAGATATAAAAATTCTTAACTATATAATTGCAATTGCAAAGTTATGAGAATATTTTAATGCTTTTAATTGTATATTCATCTATTACAAAATTTCACAACAAAATTATTTCAAGGAACTTCCTGCATGTTTTTTGCAAAGAATATAATTAGTAATTTTCAGTTTGTGATCATAATTTTACTGAATGGTCAAATGAAAATAAAACTTAAGTGAAGGAAAGCAAAAAGTTTGGCAATGTAGTGAGCTGAACATGCTTATTACAAACATGTCCAGCTTACTACATTGCCAAATCTGACTCAGTGCACTGCAAGTAGCACTTAAATCTTGAACATGTATTTACTACTAATGAGAAGGAACAGTTAAAATTCAAAATAAATAAATAAATATAGAAAAATATTCACCATTATAAAACTAAAATTTTATTCTAAACAAAACCATAAATAATCCAACCCCTTAAGCTAAAATACCTCACAGATTTTGTGGAACTCACTGTGTCAAATGTTTCAAGGGTTTTCCTCAGATAACTTTTTTTATGACAATGTTTTTTTTGTTATACACAAAAATCCATGGACTACAGCTTATTAAAAAGTATATAAGCATAAATCTTTGTAGAAGTAAACAATTTGAAATATTTTTGTATAAATTTGTGCTTTAATTTTTTGATAACTTTTCTTCTTTATGTAACTTTCCACTTTTAAAATTTTCTGTTCTATAGTGTAAGATATTTCCAATTATTGCAGCATTTATTTTGATTAATAATGAGCTTACACTCAGGAGTTGGTAATATATGACAAGTCAGTCAGGTGCCTACAATTTCAAGGAATTGCCAAACTCTTCAATGCTATTTCTCAAGTCCTGTTTTTATTTGACCATCCAATATATAAATATTTAATATTCTGAATGCTAAAAGTGAATAAACTAATTATATATAAATTTTGTGTATATTACTTAGCTTATAAATATTGTGTTTATTTCCAATATTCATTAAATAACTTAATATCTGGATTTATAATTATAACATGGTATTAATAACAACAACAACAGCTTTACTTCAATCAATAACAAAACACAAGGATAGGGTGAAACTAATAGAGGGTATCACATGATATGACAAAGAACCAATTATTTAAAATAAAAAATATAAAAAAACTTTTATATATAATCTTACCGTCTGATCAATTGTAAGAATATTTGCCTGTTTCATAATTTCTTGTAACTTTGTATCATTTTCATTTATACTATAAAAGAACCATTTGAGATAAATATTTTAAAATTTTATTACTTAAATTCAAATATTAAACTGTAACCTTCTATAAAACTTAACATATTAATAAGACTAAAATAAGAAAAAACAAAGATTCAAAATACAGCTTTCTATTATTACTTATTTTTTGAAACTGTTTCCAAGAACCAGATTTAAACATATGCATTTTATTACTTTCATAAACAATTAAATAAGTAACACGTCCTATGAAAACACATTCCATTAAATTAACTTGAATAAATATATCAGTGAGCTTTTTTCCATAAAAAATTTTGGATTACAAAATATAGCACATTCATTTAATCAGGCACCTCCAGATTATAGTAATATGAACATGTCAATTCCTGGTATGATGATTATTTTCTATAGCAAGAAAATCATCATGTGAATTCATGTAGATGTATTTGAAATTATTAAATAAATTTGTTATAAATGGTAAATATCTATTTTAAAGCAGTTAAAATAAAACTGTGATCAAAATTACAAACTGTGTGTAAAAAATTGCCATATTCAACTTTCTATTATGCTCAACAAAATATAGATCAAACGAGTAATTAGTTATTGTCACAATGCCTGGCTGCAATATTTATTCATATTTTTAATTAATTTAATTTAAAATATATTCTCTCCACCTCAAATTAATAGTGACTTGCCCCTGTACATCATACTTTCCTGCTGACAATAGAGTATTGCCAGTTATCTAACACCTTTCAGGGGAAAATTTTTGAATTGAAATAACATGCCTTCCAATTTGTATCAGGAGTTTGTATATTGTTAATTGGAATCTCCTTTCCCTATGGTTTCCATATCTAGTCTTGTGTTTCATCTCTAACTCTGTTTTGAGATTAAGGAAAGATAGACAGACAACAGTCAACAGTGTGAATTTATAGGTCTACAATTTTTTTAATTGGGGTTCGAAAATGTTTGTTTATCAATCTTTTTACATGATCACATCGTAAATGGTTCTGGTACGTAAATTTTTTTACAATTTTTTCAAATTGCAACCCAATTACGATATTGTATTCTTAAATAAGGTAAAATTATTATCTGAGATGGTGAATTTTACAATGTATGACTTATGATCTTGGTATCTTACAGAGTAGCAATGTGCAGCATATTTTTGTAAGTAATATCCAAGATCTGTAACAGCTACCACAATAGTATAAAGCATTCTTATGCTTAGTCATGTACTGTACCATACACTGACTTAGCAAATTTTATGCAACAAAATAGTTGGCATATTCTATGTTTTGCACATTTTTATGCCTTGTATATCAGTGGTAATAAGGACATGAATGCATTATTTCACTTCTTCCAATATGCAATACTCAACAAACATACCGGTGGGCCTGTTACCGGTGTTCTTCTTGGAAAAACAGAGCGTTACAAACATTTTCGAACTTGGAAGCTCTTCTTCAGGTAACTAATGACTGTTAAACGAATGTGATTCAAATTAAAGTCCATTAATTTGAACTTTAAGTTTAAACTTTCTATAATAAAAATGGTTTTTAATATTATTTTCTGTGATTTGTTTTCATTTTTGCGTGCAACTACAACATACTTTGTCAAAAAATCTTTAAAAAAACAAAACGTAGTAATTTTAATTATTCTTTCCCGCATGTAGTTTACTAGTTCAAATGAATGTTTTTAGCCATTTATTAATGCTTTTACTCTACCAAAGCAAATATAAATGTAAAAATTACAATTTTAGATAAATTCTTAATGAGCTAATTCATGAAGTAATTTATTTCCTATTGATTATTGACTTCAATACATGCAGTTTGATGAATGTTGTATACTTGTGGAACCAATTAGCCATGTTTATCAAGGGTTACTTGTAGTTTAGTCAGTTTTGCTTTGTAGAGTTAGGCATTATCATCTAAGAAACTTATCTAATTTTGATTAAAATATATAATAAAAATTAGAAATTCCATAAATATATAAATTATTAATAGCAACATATTTTATTGCAGACAATAAGACAAGGCTATAACAAAAGTATCTGTTTAAATAAAATTATAATTGTATTAGCTAAGAAACTATTACTGAATATGATATAAAATAATCCAACAACATACATGAATTTGAGAGCATAAAACATTTATATCCTATAACTGAATTATTATGATGCAGTTTTCTTTTCTGAACAAACTTCTTCTATAGTATTTAATATTACAGAAAATTATTTTGTTTTAATTTGCCAAATATATTCCATTCATCAAAATGAGCAAGTACTTGAGTCTTTTCTTCATTCCATAAAATTTTTAATGCAGATTTATATTTTTGCAATATATTAATTATTTGTAATATTAAATGCATATTTCAAAAAGAAAACACAAATTTGAAGCTACAGACTTGTGATTAGTTTCTATTTTTATTAATCAATTTATTTATATCGCAATTATTTAAACCATTTCCAATAGTCAGATTAATTTTTGGAATATATTATGACCAAACTTTTAACAGAAATTCTTTCATTTCTAATTTCAATAATGTTTTGAAATTAATATTTTCTTTCATAAATTTCAATAGAGAAAAACAAGAATTGTTTAAAAGTCATACTAGGACTTTAATGTTCTGTATGCTTAATCTCTTTGAATGCATTAAAGTAAATACATTTAAACTCCATTTATATATTTTTTTTAAGTAAACTGAGAAAAATACCCTATGAGTGTGAAAAGTGTACATGTGAAATTATTTTTTAAGTGCTTTCAGAGTGAATGTAGTTGTTACAAAAGTATGGTGTGGCATAAATTAATGCCATACAACTGAATGTACGTATAATTCTTAACAAAGAAGTTTCAATTTACTACATATAATATATTTGAACAACATATAAAAGTACAACAGTGTAAAATTAAGCTATGTATTTTCTAAAAGTTGACAAAGGTTTTTTTGTTTCTTTATCTTGATACACTTATCAGACACATGTACAGACACAGTATCAGTCATTTAAAAGAATGAAAAATCATCCTAAAGATTTGCTCACCCTAACAGCAAACAGTGAAAACAAATGAGATACCAGAGAATGAGTTTTGTAATACTGTACTGTAAGGAACCAAGTCCGTGCTTTATTTTTAGTTTACTTTTACTTTATTATATTTTTGTTTGGGGCTTATGTTTGGTTAGGACGAAGGTTTCCTCACCCACCACCCTAACGTTCAAAATGAGAAGATAAAAGATTAACCAACTCACCGACAACGAAATGACAGCGCCATAGCTAGCATTGCACTCACGTGCACGCCCGAGCGGCAGAATTGTAAGTCCGCACTGAAGGGGGGGACACCCCAATAGACTTTCTAGGAACTTGTGTAACCTTAACAAAACATCCCGATAATTGTTAAAGAAATGCTGTAAAAGGTTAACAAAGTATTGTCGAGAAATAAGCTACCAGATAACGAAGAGAAAACAATGTTACGTGTAGATATGTAAATGAGGGGAGTGGCTACAGTAGAACTGTGACGTCACCTCATACTATAAGTACAGTAGCTCAAGTGAAGACAGAAGAGGTGAGCTCCTGAACCGAAAGCGTTGGTCTGCTGGTAGCAGTGAATAGGTGTCGAATAGGAAATCCTAGTAGGAGATTGAAGGTTCGATTTTGGTGATTTGGAAATAGGAAAGTCTTGAGTAGAAGAAAAGGTTCCGAGTATTAATTGAGGTGACGGTTAGGATTGATAGTTATAAGAGAATTTGTATCTAAGTTAAGAATTGGATTTTGTTTTGTCGGAATTCCAAGGGGAATAGTTCTAAGTTAGAATAAGACTTAAGTTTGTCGGGTTGATTTGTGATTTGATTTTTGATTAATAAATTTGTTGTTTGTTTATAAATCTTGTACATAGTATTGGTTAAACTTGATTTAACATTTATTATTGAGATTTTTTTGTGACTAACTTTGTCCTTAATTTATTTCGGTGCACGCTAAAAGTCCAGGCCTGGCAACTAACAAACGCGAACCCGCGTAAAGTACCCGTTAGGTCCCGGCTCTAAGAAAAATATCGTTGTAGAGCAACAAATTAAAAATAGTACTTTACAGTACTGTAATACTGTACAGAAAATACTTAACATTAAATACTTAAATTGCAAAAAATGTACAACCAAGAAATGTATAAACAAAGTTCAACTGTAATCTTCAAACAATATAGCATTAATTATAAATAAAACTTACAAACCTTACTGCACTTTGTACATAGTTTGAAAATTATTACATTACTAACATTTTTAGTCAACTTCTAAGACCTTCCTCAGATAGATCCTTCTAAAATTGACTCCTTGCAGTGCTAGTAGTGTTCTATTTTGGAATGCATATGACTTTGACACATTCAAATTCATACATTTACAGTAAATTTGCTTAAAATTTAATATATATCTAAAAATTTATCAAATCTAATATAAACATCACTTTTACTATACTATTTGTATTTAACCATCTCCTACTTTCACATTATCTAGAAATTGGTTATTTCATTGATTTACTTAATCAGCAGATCAGTTAATGAAGGTTGCTTAAGTTAGTTATAATGATTATTTGTTGGTTATAATCATTGAGATTTGAAACCAAGAATTTATCTGGTATAATGTTTATTCAATAGAATAATTATTATAACTTTTGCCAAACCAACTGCCATTTTTATATATTTTTCCACAGCAAGACAAGTAACACTGATTGAATTATCTTTTTGTATTATTGATTTTCTTGTCAATTCAGTTCTATGTTCAATATTATTTTAAAAGTGAAGAGAGAATAAATCTTTTATTTACTTTTAAATTATTAAATAAACACCATGATCCTTTGTTAATGTGCTTTAATTTTTACTACAAGTTATTCCTGATTAATATATATCACCTTTATGTCCTACTGAATTTAATGACTAACCATTTTACAATGACTCAAACATTCATTAACTGCAAACTCATAATAAAATTATACTTCTCAATTATCAATTCCCTTGAATCAACCAAAAACAAATATTTATAAGATATTTTACTACCTGCAACAATGTAAATCAATATTGCTAAATATAATGAAGAATACTGTTCAGCAAAAACAGATTTAATAATAAAATATAGATTACAGAGTAGATATTTCTATTCACTTCTTTAAGAGATGTTATTTTAATTTCATTAATGCTACACTTTTTTTGAAATATGCATTTATTCTTTCATAAATAAACAATTTTAAAGCAAATTATTTACCACATCATGTATTGCTATGATCTAATTTACTAATGCTTACTATAATATAGAGATTAGATAGATATGAATTTTGTTCATATAGTAAAGTTTATATAACCTGTACATTGATATTTGAGTAAGAAAATTATACTTCAAATTTATCATCCTATAAATCCTACCTATGTAAATTATAATAATACAAATAACCCATAAAGTCATGTTCCATGTACAGTACAGTACAAAACGTCAATATTCTACATTCAAAACTTAATTTAGAGATTTGAATATCCATATTTTTTGAACAGTTCCATAATAATAGGATATATTTTTCTTTGTTCATAGTAAATTAACTAATTAAGTAAATTTAAAGGAAAACTAGGGAAAAAAATAATATAATAGCTCCATCACTTCTTAAATTTTATTTTGAAGTTTCAATTTAATAATAGTCAGATGAATAAAACATTTAAAATACTGTATGACAGATTACATAGAATTCTTATAAATGATCTTTGTATGTAGAATATATTAGAATTTATTTTACTTACCTTTCAAATTGTCTATAATGTGAGGCACCAGAAAGAGCTATAGTTCTCCGACTACGCGAACTACCATCTGGCCTTCCTGGTGCTCCAAATAATGGTACTAAAAATATTTAAAACAAATTAATACCAAATAAATTTGATAATATTAATGAAATTAATTTATTAATAATTTAATCAAGTGTTATATACTGTAATTTATCATAATTATGTTAGTTTCTTAATTTATCTGAAAGCAAGAAGTAAATTTCAATCCAAATACACAGTACCATAGCTTTTTATGGGAATTTGATTAATTCATTCTGAAAACACCAAAAAATAAAAAATATATACTTTATTACTACATTTATTTATATGTAATAATAAAAATAGCCCACCAGTGGCCGAGTGGTCTTCGTACCCTAAACACTGGGAGTTTGGTTGTGGGTTTGCGCCGCGATCGGACAGGCTGGCTGCTTGGAGTTTTCTGGGTTTTGTCCTTGCCAATAACGACTAAATAGGAGGCCAGTTCCCCATAAAAAGTCCTCCCAGAAGGCATTAGTTCCCCTCACGTAACATCGCGCCCCAGAGAAGGCAACGGGAAACCACTCTGGGTACTAACTTTCCCTAGTAACGCCTTGGTGTATTTACTAACTACTTAGAAATAAATAAATAAATAAAAACTCACGCCAAAATTGTATAACTTCTTGATAAAAAGCACCGAGTTCAGAGTTAATACGATTTTTCTTATATCGCAAGTACTTTCGACGAGTATTATATCGTCGTCCTCAGGCGAAAAAAGAACAAATTTGAAAATTAGAACGTGCAGAGTGTTCCAAGTAGAACACCATCTTTCATGTGGATGTGGACAAACATTTTTGATCTAATTACAGATCTGCTTCAGGTCTTAAACTTTTCATTCTATTTTAGAATTTGAAGAACTACATAAAATTTCAATCTGTGGAACAAATGAAGGTGAAGTTCAAAATCATATTTGATGTTCTTAGTATAACTATTTACATATTTAAAGTTTCAAAGTTTAATTTTATATTGTTCTTCTTCAAATTGCAAAATAAAATGAAAAGTTTAAGACTTGAAACAGACCTATAATTAGATTGAAAATGTTTGTCTGCTCCCAAATAAAAGATTAAACTCCTGCTAGTGTTAAAATAAGATTTTTGGTGAGTTAATTAAACAATTCAGCTTATAGAAGCAGTTGGTGATAAACAGCATTAAAAATATATTCCTCTTATATACTAAGAGTCTCCAATAACATATTTCTTTTAACTAGATAGTATTCACATTTTCAAAAATTAAGTGATACTAAGAATAATCTAAATATAACTGTTAAATAATTAATACATTATTAATAAATCTGTATAACTGTTGATGGAAATTGAGTATTACATTTTATGGCATATAAGGTACAACATTTATCTTAAAAACAAAATAAATTGCTCTATAACTTATATTTGAAGCTACAATGTTCCATAGGCTAATGAATTCTCCAAACAGCCTTCAACAGGCTACAGGTAACCTCTAACTACCTCAATTCTTGAATAAAAATGTTATTTAATTAAATTATATTACTATTATTATTATTTTTTTTGCTATAGTTAAGCAGATTTTGCATGAATTTATGTAGATTTTAATGTAAATTTTAAATTTTAATTGTAAGTGACCTCGTTTAAACTATTCCTTTTCCCAGATAAAAATGTTTATTTATTGATTTTACTTCTTTTAACAAGAATACAGTAAAAAATTCTGAAACTGAATATCAAAGGCAGAATATGGATTCAATACACACAATACTTTTTCTCTAAATATCCTGTGCTGAAATGAGGGTACATCTAATATGCATAACATATGATACTTATTTGAATTTTACTGTTATCATTTTAAATTTATATACAATATGGAAAAAGACAATTTCAGAAAAAATTTCATTTCTGACTGAAATGTATAATTTTCTTATTTAATTTGAAATTTATCATAATGTAATTACAAAAATTTTTCTGTGTTCACAGATGAAAGATCCTCAGATTCTTTTTTGCATTTCTTGATGATTTGACACTCAAGGAGGGAGGAAAAACCCTTACAAAAGTGTGTATATTGGCATTTATTTTGCATTATATCTCAGGACAGGATAAACTAAAAATTTTGAAACTTTACAGGGTTATTTCTGTATATAAGATATTGATGCTACTAAATTTTGATGGTTAAAAGTTAAGAGAGAGAAGATAGAGAGGGTTCATATGACATCTTGAATGAGGTCAGATTTAATAAAAGTTTTAATGTTATAATTAAATCTTTTGTCTTTTTATATTAATTAATAATACATAACTTACTTTTAGCAAAATCTCATGCCACATGATGCCATACACAATTTTAATTTTGTGTTCATGTCTCTTAGCATTTTTAAAAATTTAAATATGCTTTTAAATAGAAAAATTTATCATAATTCAACAAAATTACTCCTCTTAAGCTTTGTTGTTTATTTAAATTTTATATTGTAGTATAACTGAAAGTTATCAAACTACCTTCCTGGTCCCTTAACCTCCTGTATGAGTACTGATAAATTGAGGGAGAATGCTTATGAGTTTTATTGTGTAAAAAAGTTACCTGATGTTTTTAGACTTGCTTCACCTTATGTATAAAGCTCCTGCTAGTACTGAATTACCTGATATAATAAACTTTTGCATAAATGCTGTATTCTTCACACAGAATGTTATCCAAAATCAAGCCAAAAGCAGACTTTAAAATATGTCACAAAAAATAAGATTAAATATTGAAATATATAAAAACAAACAAATTATACTTTAGCAGTTAATTTAATATCAAAAACGTTCAATTCAGCATGACACACAGTTTTTAGAAAAACACCACACAACTGCCAGTGTTGCCAGTGTAAAACACACATCAACAAAAAAAAAAAAATATTCGAGTAGTCCAAGATATAGCCAAAGTTTGCAGCGCCAAAGCATTAGCGAAAATTTACTTTGATCACTGGAATTCATTCGGATAACTGATGTTTCGGATAACCGACTTTCGGATAAACGACTCTCTACTGTATTGACATAAAAATTCCGATTTCTTGTATATAGTATTGTTCCACTTATCCTTTTTTATACGAATACTTTAGTATGCAGCTTATTGCGCTCTGCATCAGTTCGAATCAGTAAGAGTGATTCTTCTGACATTAAATTCTTTTGTAATATTATTTCTTATTTGACTTCCCCTACCAAAAAGAAGAGAACTATCTATTGCTAACAGGAAAAGTATAATGTACAAAGGCTAAACACTACTACATTTCATCGCTTGCAAGTTTTGTGTTAAACCTGTGGAATGGCGTAATGGCGTATCTACCTTGTATTTCGCGCTATATCATTGCTGTAGTAATTCAGTGAATATAATATATATAATTGTAGAAAAATATATAAAAATACAACGTTTAACAAAAGTAAATACTTCGCTTCGATTATTCTTCTGTTGTTAAATCAAAAGTATACAGGCGACCTTTTTTAGATGCTACTACCACCGCTATAAAATGTAAATATGGTTAAACAAAAGGTTTTTCATGCTATTTATATTGTAAGTATTTACTTTTGTTAATTAAACGTTGTATTTTTATCAGGGGCATGCCGTGACATTTAATGATAGGGAAGCTGTGTTTTTGTAACAAGCCGACTTCCAGGGGCAATCAGTCAGCAATCGTCTAGGGTCCATTCGTATTCGTTTGTTCGATAAGCCAGTAAAAACCGTAAACTTCTCTAAATGTATTTTTAATTAATAGATTATCAAACGCGCTTAATAAATAAGCGAGTTCAATATAATTAACTCTGTTATATTAGATTTAATAGATTTTCTACGCTCTCTAAATGCCAATTATCGCTTCGCTAACATCTACTAATTAAAATATATCTATTAGCCGTAATTATCTCGTGATAATTTTCAATATATATTTTATATTGTGTACTAATGTTAAATTCTATTCTATTTTGATTTCCAAATTGCTTCAATTTTACGAAAGATTCGATGCGATTTATAATACAAA